CGTAGACGATGAACAAAGAGAAAATAAAAGCTCAACGTATATATAGCGATGTAGCCATATGTAGACGACGAACAAAGGAAAGAATGCGCGAAACGTATATAACGACGTAGCCATATCAGGACGACGAACAAAGAAAAAGAATGTGCAAAACGAATACAACAACGTAGCCATATGAGGACGACGAGCAAAGGAAAGAATATGCATGCAGTCGTATCATTTCGTAGCGTCACAAACCATTTGTCCATGATGCATGAGATATCCAAAACAGAACATGGAACTCGTTCCAACCAGTATAAGGAGCCTTTTCTCTAAACCCAGAACAATACTCCCCCAAACAGCGTGAGCTTATAGGCAAGGCCCTCCTCGCACTGGTAGCAAAGGCCTTTCGCACTGGTAGCAATGGTAACAAAGGCCTTTTGCACTGGAAACAATGGCCTTTTTTCGCACTCGCAAGGCAAGTGATAACGAGAAAGATAGAGAAGCAGGGGAAATAGAAACCACAAGCACTCGCACTACCCCGAAGAAAGAGACAAGGATAGGAGGGGGAATAGGGCACGTAAATCACACGCACTAGTAATGACCCCGAAGAAAGAGACAAGAGAGGTAGGGGGAATAAGGCAAAGAAATAAAAAGCACTAGTCATATTCCCCAGAGAATAAGCATGAAAAGTAAGGGGAATAGGGCAAACAAGAAAACCACAAGTAGTGGTGATACCTCCGAAGAAAGAAACAAGAGAAGTAGGGGGAATAGGACGGAGAAGGAAACCACAGGCAATGATAATACCTCCGAAGAAAGAAATAAGAGAAATCAATTATACTCATAGCATCATGCGAGTCACTGCCGCCTTTGACAGAATCTGAATGATCCATGGGGTGGCGATGGCCCGGCAGCCCCGCGAGCGCGAACGCGTGCGAGGCGGTCCATCTCCGCCAGGCGAAATTCCCATTCCTGAGGGCGATGCCACGGACCTCGTCCTCGTGAGCGAATCGAGCGGCATTGGCATATCGTTCTCTCACTCTCGGAGAAGGCGGCCCGTCTCAACATTGTTTTCGTTTCGTTTTGTGAAATTTGTGGTCGTGTCCGAAGGACTAGACGCGACACCTGTAGTGTTGGTGGCGTTGATGGCAAAGACGTCGGTGATAGTGAAGCCTGAATAGGCTATGCTCTTACTCGAGTCGGGTGAGCTCAAAGAGCAGGGGGGTCAGGCGGGCCAGGTGCAAAGTCGTAGTCAAAAGCATGTGCATGCAGGTACCGAGTCAGCACATCCTCATCCAGTTCGTCGGCCGCATTTGTTTCGTCGGTCGTAGGAGGAGGTGGTGGTTGTTCGACCGTTGTGAGATCCGGATCGATATTCTGGTGCAGCGGTTCGAGCTCCTGAGTCTGATGGAACTGGAGCTGCTGGAGTGGTTGGGGCGGTTGGGGCTGCAGCTGTTGGTGCAATTGCTGGTTCAGAGGCTGTTGCAAGCGCATTGGCAGGTTGTGAAGCTGTTGGTAGTACTGAAGCCCCTGCTGTTCAATCTGCTGTTGCTGTTCAATCTGCTGTTGCTGTTCAATCTGCTGTAGCTGTTGTTGCTGCTGTTGCTGTTGCTGCTGCTGCTGCTGCTGCTGCTGTTGTTGTTGTTGTTGTTGTTGCTGCTGCTGCTGTTGATCTATGGCCTGCTGCTCTCGTTGTTGCTGCTGCTGCTGCTGTTGATCTATGGCCTGCTGTCGCCTATACCTCCGTGTTCGCGGTGAATTGGGTGTAAAAGGCGAAGCATAAATCCTATGAATTCGCTCAGCAGCCTGCAAGGCCTGTTCACGGTTCATAGTGACGTGAATAGGTAGTAGGGAAGGAATTTGCTGCAGGAACTGGTTCCCGCAGGCGGTGATCAGCCAGAGAAGCTCCCCAATGCCACCGTCCACGTAGGGTGAATTGGGGCGGGGGTGAGACACGAAGAGAAGATCCCACATCATAAACCATTTATCAGCTTCGCTGATTGATCCAAAGACAAGCTCGCTAAGTGCAGCCGCTTCGCCAGGACGTAGATGTTCTGGCTCAGGTACCCGTTGACAAGAAGAGTTCGAGTGAGCCTCCCACTGGGCGTGTTGATTGGCCTTCCAGGTCGTCCAACAAATCGTGCAGTAGAGAAGGCTAAGGGTGTGGCATCTCAAGATGTGCTGTTTAACATCTGAGTACCTCTTGAGTTCGTATTTTCGATAGCACCGAAAGTGTTCGATGGGATCGAATTTGTAGAACGGGCACGCGTAGAGAATGGGGTTGGCTGGGTCTCCATGACTGTTGCTATTATCCCGGTTGCCGTGATTGTTTTTGTCTTCGTGATCGTCACTATCGTTATCATCGTTTTCTGGATTTTCGTCAATGCCTCTGCCGATACGGCCGCCGCGACCGATGCGGCCACCTCGACCTCTGCCAACACCGGCCCCGGTGCGTCGCCCGCCGCGGCCGGCCTTGCCACGACCACTTGAAGCACCGCTGGGGACTGGTGTGGTAGGGGCATGGGCCCAAAATGAAGAGGCAGGGTTGGGACCGTTAGGCAGGAGATGAAACCAAGCGAAAAAGCCAGATTTTGATCTGCCAATGAGAACGAAACCTCCTTTAAAGGTGCCAAGGTGCTCGAGCGTGAGTGGCTCGTCCGGCATGCCTCTGAATGGCGACAGCTTGTTAGGCCCGCAGTAGAGTGCCTTCAGGATCTGGTCGGGGGTATTCCTCGATGGGATTGTGACCAGGCTAGGCTTTGCCTGGCCGCGCTGGCGGCTTGCAGCTAATGACAGACATTGTATTGCATCGATCTCAGCAAGGCCAGGAGCAACCAAATGGTCGAAACGGCCAGAGATGTTTGCCAAGAAGGCATCAAGTTGAGCTTTGTTGGGGAGAATTGTGACAACAGGCAGTTGTTTTGAGACTTCAGGATGCACTGGACTGATTGACAGGCGACTTAGTGCATTGTTGCGTGTAGCTACGCGGGGTTGGAGCCACTTGATCCTGTCAATTCGGCAAGGAGCGAAAATGTGACTGCCGCGTACGGTGGAAGCAATCAAGGATGCGTCAAAGACGATGTCGTCAAAGACAACCTTGTTGCTCAGAGATGAGTGGTAGGTGTGCTCCAAGGAGCACAGCAGGATGTCGTGGCACAGTTCCACAAGCAAGTTCAGAGTCAGAAGCGTGAGCTGATAGGCAAACGAAAGAGCGCAGTGGTATAGAAAATCAGCGTAGATCATACTTGCTGCTGCATTCCCGGAGTGATAGTTCTGAATGAGTGGCCGAACAGACTCAAGATAGAAATTGAAACACGAGGCTGCGAGTTGTCGTATAATAGGGTTAGGTATACTTGGAGTAAGTTACAGAAGAAAGAAGATCAGTTACTTGGGGTTGGTTATGAGGAGGGCACCTGGGGGGGGAGGGGGGTTAGCCACAAGCGATGACGAGGCATGACCGCTCGAAAAGTTGAATGGCGTTTTTGAATGAGGAAAACCCCGCATTGATATGCACATTTGTGTTGCGATAGAATAAAGCCCATCTTGGATGTTGAAAGTAATGCTGTAGAAAATGAGAGGGTGTTGCGTGCCTGACAGCCTGTCAATTGGCGGGTCGGAGGTAGCATTGTGGCGTCGCAGGGTCGCTGTAACTATGAGCCGCTGTAGAGTCTTGTCTTTTCGAATATTTAGATGTCTAGTGCGCCATATGAAATACTCGGGACCCACATGAGACCCGAGAGAAAAGAAAGTCTTGCGTCTTGATTATTCGTAGGCGTTGCTTTACTGGTATCATTGTGCCTGGCAATCTTACCTATGGAGCTGAAGCTTGCCAACTTGTGTAGCGGATTCAGCCTAACGGCAGGGTCCGCAACTAGCCGCCGATTGTATCTTTGTTGCTAGATGACCTTTTGTTAAGACGCTGGAAGACCAAATCAGATCTCAAACCTGTTTCTGTCCTCGCTGTCAGCATCTAAGAGATTCTGGACTCGCAACGTCCAAATTCAGGTCGCCAAGCACTGGAGAAGGAACTGCCGGGGCTCTTGTCTCCTTTTTTTTTTTTTTCCGCCACCGAGGCCGCCCTCCCTGTGGTAGTAAGGCGATATCGAAGCCTCATGCGAAGCCACGTACCAAGGTACGGAGGCAAAAGAGGCAAACGGTGCGGGTCGTTAACAGCGAAAAAGCCGAGGGGAGGGGGGGATGGCGCGCAGGTCCTTGGCGTCTAACCTCTTGGCAGCAACTTGTCATTTCGAGGGTGGTTCGCAGTGGTTTTCCGTCATGGTTTGCAAGCTCTGTTCGTACACCTATCCGTATGCCAATACGCCGTGCGCACCGCACCTCCTGCAGATTACATGCATTGGAATCAAAATTTTTTGCAGCCAAATCATCGGGCGTTGGTAGTGGAGGACGGGACTCCGCTTCGACGCCCCCCCTGACGATGATCATTGCAGTTCGAGCTGGCAATTGGTTGGCATGGTTGCACTGCCAAGATTAAATAGCCCCGGAGAAAGGAGAGATGGGATTATGTGCGTCGCATTTATGAAGATTTAGAGACCGGGATCGACTGCAGCGATAGTTTTGGCGATGAAGGTTGCAAAATCTGCCTTGAGTCTTTGCCTTTTTTTACAAAGCACCCAAGAGAGGCAACCACTGGCAAGCGTGGTTTCAAATTAACTTGGCAGCTGGCGGCCGGCACGAAGAGGGAGCCGGTCGGCAAATAGCAAAGCTGGCAACCAAAGGCACGCAGCTAGCGGTAGACATGAAGAGACAGCTGGTCGGCAAATGGCACGCAGCTGGCGGTCGGCAAAAAGAACCGAGCTGTGCTGGCAACTCAAGCCCTGTACCTAGCTGACAAACAAAGGCTCATACCTAGGTAGGTAGCTGGCGGTCGGCAGAAAGAGGCAGCCAGTCAGCAAATAGCACAGAGCTGCCTTGAACAAAAGGCTCGCAACTGGCAACACAAGGCTCACAGTTGGCAAGATAAGGCTCGCAGCTGGCACGCGGTCCCCCGTTTGCTTCTCTTATTTAAGCATACCTACCTAAGGTAGTCCCTAAGTACATAGTTCGGCATGGCGTCATACTATGGCAGGTACCTCCATCTCAACAGTGTGGAGGTGGCATTTGCGTGTACTCTTTTGCCCAACTAGGAAGGGGGGGATTAGCGAATAGCGGCTAGTTATGGGCCTCCCGAGCAGCCAGATGCCGACTCCGCCAGCCCGCAACCGTGCCAATGTCCCCGTAATTAGGTGCCCTAGTGCTGGAGCAGTCTTGTGCCGCACCAGCACGTCTGTGGCATGCCGGCATACCCGAGGTATCTACCTACCATGCTAGATAAAACAACTATAAATTCATCTTGAACCATATAACCATGTTGAATCAAAAGTACTTGATTGAAAGCAAGTAAAGTTGAACGCATATCAACGGGCAAATGGGGCCATGGTGTTGCGATACTCCTTCTCGTGACACAGTACGTTTGTACTCGCTGCCTAGCCATGCCTAGGTAGCTTCAAGACCCTTCCGTGACTGTCTCCTTGCCTTGCCCATTTCCCTTCATCACAACACCACGGCGCCTGCGAACCAAACAGATGCTCATCATCATATAATCTGCATTCCTTTGTCGAGTTTGTATCGATCTGGTGCTCTCCTAGCACTGCCTCGTCTTCGGAGCTAGACCGACGCCACGCTTCCAAATGCCCTCACCACCGGGATTTTGGGGATTTGTTAGGCCGCAGACGGCGTTTCACTTATCAGAGATGACAGGTTTTTAAATGCGCCACTAAAATTGGCCTAGCCAGTCAGAACCCATTCTTCATAGTCCCTTCCTGGACATTGGACAAAGCACTGCCCGCCACCGTCAAACTTCCCTCACACAATTGTGTGGACGTTGCTAGATGAGTGGGCCTTGTCCGACTGGCATACAGCCCCCTTATATCTGCAAAACACTGGAAAAAGTGATGTCGGGTTTTCCTCCAACATGTTCAATTGTCCTCGGCTAAGAAGCCGAATCAAGAGTTACTTGCTCATGAGTGAAAGGGAAGGACAAACCAGCGTGAAAACCGATACAATAGCCGCCCGTCTCGGCCAGTCTCGGCTGCGATCCCCGCTACATCCATGCCGTCTACACATTCGTCCTCAACAACTGATGGAGCCCAAGAGCCCCCGGAGCTGCCAGACTCTCACAACTCTTCACGTCAGCCGTCGTACCACGAAACTGATGTATCTACCTTGAGTTACATGTGGCCACAATCGCATCTACCCCTCGCGTTTGCCTCGCAGGGTCTGCAGTCACTTGAAAGCATACAAAGTACCTTGAGTGCTTCCATGCCCTATTTCGAGCCTTATCCTCGTCCTGCTTTTCCTGCGGATCTTGTCGACCCTTTTGCCATGTGCCAACAGGCCGGCTCTTGGAGCAACTACCCCTCAGACACTGCAAGTGTAGAGCAGTGTTACGACCTTCATGCACCCATACAACGCACGGATTCAACTGTGAGTGTCGAGGCTGCAAAAAGGAATTCTCGCGCGCCAGGTCCTGTTGATTGCCGTTCCAAGACCCCTTGGAAAGGGGACCTGGATCGTGCCTCCCGCGGCCGCTCCATTGTTGGCACCGTGGCTCCCCCCACTGATGCAGGTGTGAAGAAACTGCGCAAACAACTGCATGGAAGCTCATCCAGGAGGAGTTCCGTCGCATTAGCCTCGTCGGCTGCAACTGCTCTGTCTCCTCCAGATGTCAACGGACGCAGGCACTCGGCCCCCAAAGAGGAAGTCATGTCCAACGATGAAGTGTTGAGCTCTGAAGATGAAGATAGCCGGCACAGGCCAAAGAGTGCGGGAAATGAGCCTACTTTTGCTTGCCCTTTTTACCGGAGATGGCCGACGCGTCATATCGAATGCATGAGTCGAAAGCTCACGCGTATCCAAGACGTCAAGCAACATATTTACCGACGTCATTCAAAACCACCATTTTACTGCCCGACTTGTGCTCAGACGTTTGCATCGCCGGACCCACGGGACAATCACATACGTCAAAAGTTATGCACGCCAGCAACGGCATCGTCGGAGCGCAGCAGTGACGGAATATCGGCCGAGGTCCATGATTCCCTCAAGAACCGCTTCCATCGGAGACTAAGCCCTGTTGAGCAATGGTACGGCATATGGGACCTCATATTCCAGAGAGAAGCACGACCGGAAAATGTCCATGTCGGCAGCATGGTTACAGAGATGCTCGGCATGCTCAAAGACTTTTGGAAGAATGAAGGCCATCACATTATCCCAACTATTGTCAAACCTGGAACGACTCAGCTCCTTGCTGATGCAGACCTTCATTTGTGGATGACGAATATGCTGGACAAGGTTAAAGATCACATTGAAGGCGAAATCGGCATGGCAAAAGGGACAGCCACGGACGGCGGCACATGGAGCCAGGCTGACCAAACAATGGATAATTCACCAGTGGACGGCGAATTCGGTGCGCCTGCGGAAGATGAAGAAGTCAGTTATGAGCAAAGTTCGCCCGTCTGGGACGCCACCTACTGTTCTCCTATTGGCTCGCCTCCCCTCGCAATGGACGGGCAAGTCGTTGAATCGTCGGCGGACCTTGGTAGCTCAGGAACGCTAGTTGGAAAACGTAATCAGCAGTCGTGGCTGCCCCATTCTATGGCGAATGCTTCCGTGAACAGGTTTCAATGATTTTTTTTTTGTGCTTGGGTGAGGGGATGGAGTTGTGCTTTTGACCGACTCAAACATGAGTGTGTATTCTTTTATTGAGAAATAGGGAGGAAGGACTGGGCTTGGTGTAGTTGCCTTGTCAAATGCGGCTTCAAAAAAAGATAGGCAACGTAGAAAGCGTCGTGGAAGCTATCAACCGCTTAAGCGGCGCTAACCAGTTTATGCAAGGGAATATACGCGGACGCGCTTCTGGGACAAGATGCAGCGGACTGGTGCGGTTCTGTAGCAGCATACTACCGGCAGAAAGCAGAGTCTGTCTGTCTGCCCATACAGCTTGCCGCGCTGTCATGTTCCCAGATATAGGTGTTGGCCTTGGTGTGAGGGTGTCGAGCCTTTGCACGTGGGTGACAAGGCGAAAAATAGATGCGGTGCATGAAGACGAAGATGAGCGTGGAGATTTTTTAAAAGCTGGGACAAATAGTAAGCCGGTATAAGCATTACTATTATTTTGGGTTGAATTGAAGAGGCGACAAGATCGTGCAAGCGTTGATGGAAATACCAACTCACGCGACTGGTTGGTTGTAGGTGTTTCTAGGGAACATCCTGGGCTTAACTAGGTACCCTGACCAACCATGAAGCAGAAGCCAGCTCACACTGCAGGAGAAGTAGGGAGTTGGAGACCGAATAGAACGATTGAATGGCGCCCGTTTTGCTTGCTATTATTGATTGGACATTACACAACGCGGCTTGTCGAGTTCCCCGACCCCTAATACTACTAGTTGGCGCGAGATGAGCGGCCGGGCCGACGGCAAGTTGACAGCAGCTGTACCAAACCATCGTTGTTCCGGGGCAAGGCGGGTCTGCCGAGGAGCCGATAAGAACGATAAGACGATGAGGGACGAATCATTTTGCCATGTATAATTAATTAGTTAATAGCATGGTCCAATTCAAACGATAATGTAGGGATTATTAAATGGCTCTTCGGCGTTGACCTCGGCCCAGGGTGGATCTTGTTGATTGAAATATCAAAAAATAGGTAACGTTATTTAGTTAGAGGCTACCTAAAGGCCGGCAGTGGGAGTTATCGATAAATAGGTAGGTAGTCTAGAGTCAAAGAGGGGATCGAAATGTGCCGTTTGGCAGGCCAATTTTAACCCAGTTGATGTTGGTCGGGGATACTAGTCTGGAGTTATTTGTTGTCTACGGAGTATTTTCTCAGCGTTTAATTTTACTTTTTTCTGACCGTCTCATTATTACCCGTTGAGTGACTCAGTATTACAGCGACGAGACACATCTTATTCAGCGTACGGATACGTACCTTACCTTAACAGTAGACACGACCGCCACAGTCACAATCAGTACCACTTTCCCAGCGGCCGACGGCCCTGTAAGCGCCCCGCCAAACTTTGTGCCCCTCGTTCGTCGCGACTTTCGGCCCGCCGCTGCACGAGGACACCAACACTTTGCACGACGACAGACCATCCTATTACCTTGTTCTGATGCTCCGCTGACGAATTCCTTCTTTTATCTCCTCTTGCGACTGCGGTCGACCCTTTTCTCTCCCCCTCACCACACATTCTCTCACCATGTCACCGCCTGCATCTCCTCTGCAACTCTCCGTCGTCGACGTCGCCGGACCAGAGGAACACGACAAGCCGGCGATTACGACGACGACGACGACGGCGACAACGACAACGGCCGCTCAAGATGCCTCCATCGACGACGTTGCGCCCGCGCCCCTGCGCCCAGCACTGTCGCGATCCCGCACCATGACCACGACGGCCGAGATTGACAGCACAATTACAAAGCCTGGCAGCGTCAAGATCAACGTCACTGGCGCCTTCATCGTCGATCCGGACACGGCCACGCCAAAGAATGGCCGCGGCTCCCCGACCACCCACCACGAAACGAGCGACATTCGCCTGCCCAACCACACGGCCGTTGTCAGTCACATCGCCGTCGATGTATGTCTCCATGTCCTGTTTGCACCTCTTTGCAATTGTTTGCTAATTACAAGGTGGGGGGTCCACGACCCCCTCTTCCCAGATTGGCGGCTCCCTCATCAAACTCGTCTACTTTTCCCGCGAGGTCGACCAAACCGATCCCGGCGGCCGCCTCACCTTTCAAATTTTTGAGACGGATAGGATAGATGACTGCGTTGAATTTATGCGCGACCTGCGCGACCGCCAGGCCAAGCTCACCGGCTCCCGCCCCAGCGACCTGGCTGTCATGGCCACCGGCGGCGGCGCCTACAAGTTCTACGACAAGATTCGCGATGCTCTCGGCGTTGACGTGTCGCGCGAGGATGAAATGGAGTGCTTAATCATTGGTGAGCTTTTCCTCTTCGCAGCCCGCTCTTCTCAACTTCCTCAAACTAACCCTCTAGGCCTCGACTTCTTCATTACCGAGATTCCCCGCGAAGTCTTCACCTACTCCGAGACGGAACCTATGCACTTTGTCGGCCCCCGCGAAGCCATCTACCCCTACCTCCTCGTCAACATTGGTTCCGGCGTCTCCATGCTCAAGGTCACCGGCCCCCGCGCCTTTGAGCGCGTTGGCGGCACCTCGCTCGGCGGCGGCACCCTCTGGGGCTTATTATCACTACTCACCGGCGCCCGCACCTTTGACGAGATGCTCGAGCAGGCCGGCCGCGGCGACAACACCCACGTCGACATGCTCGTCGGCGACATTTACGGCCAGGACTATGGCAAGATTGGCCTCAAGAGCACCACCATTGCCTCGTCGTTTGGCCGCGTCTTCAAGATGAAAAAGGACGCCGAGGCCGCCGCCCTCGCCGACGGCTTCGACCCGGCTGACGGCCAGCCTCTGCCTCGCGGCGCGGGCTTCAACGACGGCGACATTGCGCGGTCTTTACTCTACGCCGTCTCCAACAATATCGGCCAGATTGCCCTGCTGCAGTCCCAGCTCCACAACCTGTCCGACATTTATTTCGGCGGCTCCTTTATCCGCGGCCACCGCCAGACCATGAACACGCTGAGCTATGCCATCAAGTTCTGGAGCAAGGGCGCTAAGCAAGCCTATTTCCTACGTCACGAAGGCTATCTCGGTGCCGTCGGCGCGTTTCTCAAGCGCCAGCCCAAGAACTGGGGTCGTCGCGGCAGTCTGGAGAATGTCGCGGGTCTTGATGACCTGCAAGAGTGGCGGAAGCAGCGCGCCAAGGAGGAAGCGGTCGCGTCGCCATCATGAGATATGTAGGGGCGATAATAAATAAAAGAGAGAAAAAAAAACGAAAAAAAAAGGCATAGATTTATAGATAGAGGTGGACGTTGACATGGGATTTGCGGCAGCATTAGAATACTTTTACGCGAGGATGGGCATTTTCGGACAGCCACGAGCAAATGACGGGCTTCTTTTTGGATATCCTGGGTTTCTGCTATGCTTTTTTGCATCATTCATTATCTCCCTAGCTAGAGAATTGGAGATTTGAGACACTGTACATTTTCACACTAATATACATGGTCCGCCGTGACATTTTACATGCTCTCTCATGCCATGACGCCCCGTGGAATTTACTCTCCAAGGCCTCATCAAACATACACTCCCACACGTCTCTCCCCCCGACATTTCACCGTCAAACCTTGGGCTTCTCCTCCACCCCCCCCTCCGTCCCCCCTCCTCCCTTTTCCTTCATCTCCTCCACGTCCATGCCCAGCCTCTCCATCAGCCCCATGACCATCCTATCCACCTCCCTCTCCTCCTCTTCCTTTAACACGCCGCCGGTACCGGTCCTCCTCACCGCCATCCTCGTCCGCGCCTGCAGCTCCGCCACCGAGCACAAATCAAACCCCCACGCCGTGCCCCCGACAAGCAGCACGCCAAACGCGGCGACATTGAGCGTCGCCAGCCCCAGCGCCTGCGCCGCCAGCGAGGACCGCGCCGCCGAGTCGACGCTGCCCGGCGCGAGGTGCGAGTAGTGGAAGAAGCGCGGGACAAACTCGGCTTGGCGCCGGAGGACGGCGCGGCGCGTAATGAACGCAGAGGCGGAGAGGAAGGAGGCGCCGAGGAGGAGCAGGCTGAGCTGCTTGGCTTGGCGCTGGAGAGGCGAGAGGTGGGCGGTGCTGCTGGTGTCGATTTCGGGGGGAGCGGGTGTTGGGGAGCGGATGGCGGAGGCGGCGGCGGCGGTGGCGGCTGGTGATTGAGAGGGGAGAGGAGAGGACGAGGAGGACGAGGAGGACGAGGAGGACGAGGAGGACGAGGAGGAGGGGGTGGTTGTGTCTGTGGATGGTGATGGTGGCGGGGTGGTGCCGGCGACGTGCGGCGCCAGTAGTTTGGCTAGAAACCCCATTTTGGCGTCTGTGTATGCGTATGTATGTGTGTTTATGACATTTGCCGGGATAGTAAGTGTCAAGTAGCGTTCCGATCTTAATTTGCGAGATGAGATGAGATGAAGATGAGATGAAGATGCAGAGTGAAGAGGTCAAACGACGTTGAAAAAGTTGGACCCACTGGTGGAGCGACAGAATCGACGCCAACGCCGCTGAGCGGTTGGACATTACTGGACGACTTGCGAATAAACACTTTTTCATCTCAGTTCAAGGCCAATTCTTATTCCTTTTCAAAAGTACGTTTTCTCATCTTTCTTTTTGTGTTTGATGAGGTGTCTAGGGATTGAGTAAAAACCAAGTCAGCTAATCATATCCGTACATGGGTAGATACAAGCTAGCCCGCTACATGGCGGCGGAAACTAGACAAAACACCACAAAACTCTTCATCGTGCACGCGATATCTACCACCGTTCCTCTGTGACTATCACAATACCTGATCCAAGCATCAATTCTACCAACGTTACTGACTTGTTCAGCTTCAACCGCCGCCCATTCCCACAACACCTCACCACCATGGCGAGATCCAAACCCTCCTCCAAACCCTCCAAATCACAACCCGCACCCTCCTCCTCTTCCTCCTCCTTGCCGCCGTGGCCCAAGTTCAAACCTCCCCTCCCCGTCGTCGACCTTTTCCCCACCCCGCACCCCCTCACCAACAAAGTCGTCACCCTCGACGCCTTCTTCCCGCGCAGCCTGTGCCGCGACTACGTCGCCCACCTCTCCGCGCTTCCACTGCAGACCACGCCGGGCACGCCCCGCCGCGGCGACGCCGTCCGCGTCAACGACCGTCTACAAACACACGACGCCTCCTTTGCGGTGGCGCTCTGGGAGAAGACGGGCTTGCGGGAGGCACTCCTCCAGGACGACGTCGCGAGTCTATGGTGAGTTTT